AAAAAAAAAAAAAAAAAAAAAAAAAAAAACCTAAAAAAGAAAATACTGGCTAAATGATCTAACTTCCTAATAGTTTACAAAGTTACGTTATTATTACTGTTCTATAGTTAGAAACAGACAGGCTTTAATTGACTGAAATTTTTAGGCTATTCATTCTGCAAATGGTCTATTTTGTGGCAATATGACTATCCATATCATCACTTAAGCATCAATAATAGTGGTAATAATAATAAATGCTTTTTCAAGCTAGTCTTCCACTTTAAAACTTGATATTACACTTTTTCCTATTGGCAAATGTACTCAGCAAACCACTAGGCCACTAATTGAAGAAACTGCTAATTTGATCACAAATGCTATTTATATTAGTAATTAAATAAAGAATATGTCAGTTTACTTTTTAATGGTGGCAAATGATACTGTTTACTGCACCCAAAGAATGAGCCAAACTTCATGTTCCAAATTTTGGGGGAGAGTGAGATAGCCTGACGATTATTAAGAAAAATGAAATAATGTGAATTTTTTAAAAATTTAAGGGCCAGATCTAGCTCTTAAAAATTTAAAAGCAAGATCCTACATGACAAACTGGTTCAAATCCCATCCATGGTGGCTTGAAAAACATGCTGTGAGTGTATGTGCATGCTCCAAATCCTGACAGGATGGAGGAGTAAGGATTGTGGCATGGCCATGTTCCATGGTGGGGGACATACTCTGTCCCTCTCTCTGGTGATATACATGCATTCTGGCAACTAAAAAAGAAAAAGAAAAAGGTACCTAGCATCTATTTAGTAAAGTGTTACAATATTTACTATAGTAAAATGTTTACTTTCTTTTTTTTTCTTTTCCTTCCAAATAGTCAAATGGAGTATATGCTCAACTTGGAATCATGTTTTGATAAGTGAACCTATGCCTTCCAAGCATGTATGAGGAAAAGAGAGGGGGAAAAGCTAATTAAGGTGTTATTCTGGTATCTGCAAACTTTTAATTTTTTATTTTTAAAAAGGAATTATTTATTTATTTTTTTATTCATTCATCCATTTTAATTTGACCAGAGAGAGACATGAGAGAGAGAAAAAGAGAGAGAGAGGGAAAGTGCGAAAGCAAGCCACCAGGTCCAGGACTCAAACTGTGGTCGGCCATATGGGAGTGTCTAGTGTCTTAACCACCACACCCCCTGCTGGCCCTAAACTTTTAATTTTTTAAAGAATTATTTAATTTTATTATTTTTATTATTATTTTCAATTTACCAGACAGAGACACAGAAAGAAGGGAAGTGAGAAGGCAAGTTGCCAGGTCCAGGACTCAAACCACAGTTGGCCATGTAGGAGTCAACCACCACACTACCTGCTGGCCCCCAAACATTATTTATTTATTATTTTTTTTTTTCAATTTGCTATAAGGCATGTATGCTCAGCAGAGTGAGACAAAGAGAGAGAGAGTGAGAAAGTGAGAAAACAAGCCACCTGGTCTGAGACTTGAATTGTAGTCAGCCACTGGGAGTTCAGCACCTCAACCGCTCAGCAGAGTGAGACAAAGAGAGAGAGAGTGAGAAAGTGAGAAAACAAGCCACCTGGTCTGAGACTTGAATTGTAGTCAGCCACTGGGAGTTCAGCACCTCAACCGCCACCTGATGGCCCTGGCCCCCCAACTTTTAATCTTTATGCTTCAGTTGTAGGTGAATTCTCAAATTGAGAAGAAGAAAATAAAACCAGGATAAAAGCAATAACTTTGTTTTTGCATAAATATGCAAAAACAGGCAAGCTGTGGGCCTGCTGGTTAAGGGGTTGGACCCCCATGGTCGACCATGCTGTTTGAGTCCCAGATCCAGCAGCTTAAAAAAACACACCTGGTGAGTGTACATGTTTGCCCAAAGTCCTGAAAGGAGAAACAGAGGAAAAGGAATTGTAGTGTGACCATCCTCCATGGGGGGGGGGGGGGTCACTCCTC